GAGGGGGATCTAGTGGCCTGTTACAAACTAGTCAGAGGGGACCAGCAGGCACTGGGGAAGTCCCTGCTCCCCCAAGCACTACCAGGAGTGACTAGAAATAATGGTCACAAGCTGGCAGAGGGTAAATTCAGATTAGACATCAGGAGGCGCTACTTCACTGTCAGGGGGGCTAGGATCTGGAACCAACTTCCAAGCCAGGTGGTGCTGGCTCCTACCCTGGGGGTCTTTAAGACAAGGCTTGACAATCACCTTGCTGGGGTTGTTGGACCCCAGTACCCTTTCCTGCCATGGCAGGGGTTTGTACTTGATGATCTGCTCAGGTCCCTTCCAGCCCTACTAACTATGAAACCCTTCTTTTGTTCCAGAATCTCATTAATCTCTGGGCCCTGTTTCTGTCCTGGGAAACTACATGTCCAACATTTAATGGAAGTTTGACAAATTTACATTTGTCCAGTGCTCACTTGAGCGCCACAGCTTCTAGCCTATCTAAGACTTTCATCAGTCTCCCCTCATGTCCCTCAAGGGTTCTGCCAAACACAATAAAATTGGCAAGGTAAACAAGAACTTTTGTCATGTTCATATCTCCCACCACACTCTCACTAACTGCTGAAAGGTGGATGGGGCTCCTGAAATTCCCTGTGACATCTTTTTGAATTGGTAGAACCCTAAAGGGCAAATAAAAGCAGTTTTTTCCTTATCCTCATGCCATAGGAGAATCTGATAATAGCCACTGTGTAAATCCAACACTGACAACTACTGGCTCCCAACTAAACAATCCAGGGTGCCTTCTATATGTGGCACAGTATATTGATTGGCAGTTGTCCTACCATTCAAAGTACTATAGTCTATACACATTTTCCAGTTTTCTTTCTCACAATCACTATTGGGGAAGCATACAGGCTTCTTGATTCTTAATGATTCCATTGTCCATCACATCTTCTATTTTGGCAAGCGCGATCCTCCTTGATCATTCATGAAATGGTCTAGTATCTTGTAGCTGTATGTGGTACTCTACCCCTTGGCCAACCCCCACATCCCATTCATGGAGCGAGAAGACTTTGGGCCTAGTTTCTGCTGTAACTGGGCCTTCCACTTCAGGAGCACCAGTGAGTATCCAAAATAAAACTGGGTGGGGTCCAACTCCCCCCCCACCTTTAGTGGGACACAGTAGTGGCAGGGCCACGTTTACTTCCTTCAGGTCAGCCACTTTTTGCCCAGGTTCCACAAAAAGGTTCTGCCCTGAGGGGTTGACTACCAGCACCAAGATCTCCCATGGTGCTGCTTTCCTGAGCAGGATTACACCACTGAGGACCAGCATTCTCTTAAGCAATCCCTACCAGCACACAGGTTCCAACACTGCCAGCACTGGCACTTAGTATGCAGCAGCTGGCTGCTTTGGGCAGGCACTCGCTCATGGGCAACACAAGTGTAGTGTAACACTCTAATAGTAGAGTCCCCTTTCTTCAGTGGCTGGTTCTCAATCTTTTGATATGCCACAGCACATAGGGCATGCATCTTAAGGGTCACTGAATATTGTTTCCCAGCTTCTGCTTACAATACCCTCTCAGGATCTGAAATAGGCTGGAGTTAGTCCCCACTATGATTGAGGTCCCCTGCATCCATTTGGGATCTGGACACACCAATGCCGCAGTGCACACTTCTCTTTTAACAGGCATGACACCTTCAAGGGACTTGAGGTGAGCTATTACATGTCCACTATAGGCGTAGGCTTCATGACTCAGACTGCAGAGACCTAACCCTGTCAGTGATTGCAGGGGCAGATGTTTTAGGTGTTGGTCATAAAAGGAACAAAATATGATTGTCACCTGCAATCCACTGTCCAGGACAGCTGTGTACTGGTACTGTTGTCCCACCACCATTACAGGTACCTCTGCTCTGGGGCTGACCAGTCCTGGGGGAAATTGCTGGGGTTACTCAGGGACCTGGGAGCTGAAACATATTGGGGTAGCAACCTGATGTAGCTGTGAGCCATATGATGCTGGAGTGGCCGGGAGTGGGCAGGAAAGCAGGGAAATGGCAGCTACAGGTGGGTGGGCGGAGCGAGTGGCAGCGAGTGGGTGACAGCTGGGTGGGAGCATGAGGCCCATGTTGGTGCCCTGGGACCAGGGCCAGCAGGGCTTGGAGTGGTGCAGCAGGAACATGGAGTCCAGCACCAGCTGCGTTGGTGGGGGGACAAGGTTCCCGCAGGACTCCTGCTGCCCTGCTTTGGGCCCTGCTGGCACTTGCCCTGAGACACCAGCATGGGCCCCACGCTCCCACCCAGCTGACGCTGCACTCCATGTGCCCGCTCACTGCCACTTGCCCCTCCCTGTAGCTGCCATTTCCCTGCTTTCCAGCTGCTCCATCACCACGTGGCTCCCGGATGCATGGCCTTGACTGAAGGACTCGGCAGGAACCAGCCCAGTCTCGAGGACTGGGCCAATTGCCCATGGTCTCCCCTGCCACCTCCACCACCCCCGTTCTTATCTGAGTTTCCCTCCTTGGTAGAGGGAGGCAGGAACAGCCCCAGGGCCCCAGGCCAGACAGCCCCAGTCTCTAGTAGGCAGAGGCTTCCGGTTGAAGGTGGGGGGTGGAAGGGGGCCAAGGGTGGGGGGGGCTGTATGGGCCTTGCTGCTAAGCTGCTGGGTCCTGCTTCAGGCTTCCCTTGGGTCCTACTGCCCCTGGCTCATGTCATCTTTGACAGGCAGCCAGGAGCAAATATATATTAATTTTCTAAATTTTTAAGGGGCCTCACGGGCTGGATAGAATGGCCTGACAGGCCGAATCCAGCCATGGACTATATTTTGCCCACCCCTGCTCTAGCTGCTTATCCCTTTGCAGCCAGCCTTTGTCACTCCAAGAATTGTTTACTACTGCTTTTTCCTCTTAAAGTAACAGGAGCCCCCAGGCTCACCGTTACACTGAGGCACATAATATTTGCATTGGTCTCCTATAATAAGCATTTTTTATTGATTGTCTTCTCTTTTGACACAATCCTATTAAATTAGAAATTGCTTGAAATTTTTCCACCTTAAAATCCTGAGCGGGGGATTACTTTTGCAGAATGTCCTTGGTTATCAAACCTCTGTTATCTGAAGAGCAACTGACTTGAAACAGTTAAAGTGCATTGAGTATAACATCTCTGAATTTGATAGAGAACTGTAACTTGTAAATGTCTGTACGGTATAATCTTATCTTGTAAGCTTTATTTAATACAATACTGTATAACTTCATAAATCCAGCATGCTTGGGACTGAGCACCTGCCAGAAATTTGAAAATTCCATTTTTTTAATCTGGAGCGGCGGCCGATCGTGAATTGGGGGGTGGGGGAGGAGCAGTGGGGGGGAGTAGTGGCAGCCAGTCCCAGAGCAGAGACCAGACGCAGAGCGGGGTGGTGGATGGCAGCGGCAGCTGCTGCATGCAAGCTTCCCCCACTGCATCTGCAGGGGAGCAGTGGCCAGTCCTGGAGCAGCGGCCTCACACAGAGTGGCAGCGCAGGGTGGTGGATGGCGGCAGTAGCCACTGCATTCAAGCTTCCCCCTCCACATCCAGGAGAGCAGAAGGGGAAGCTTTAAAAGTGCTGGATTTTTGAGAATTCCAGATTTTCAGTATCCAGATTATGAGGTTATACTGTATTATATCTTCATTCTTAGGTTTCACACAGTACATTTTAACTGTTTCCTTTACCCAGATACAATCAGCGATCCAAACTGCTTTCCAGCAGGTGCTTTTCAAAGGGGTTTGGATAACTGAGAACATACTGTACTCCAAACACTTCTGAAAATTATCCAGGTTGTTTCTAGCACCAAAAAAAAGCAAACTGAATGTTTTAGAGTTCAAAATCTTCCTGTGAATCTTTCTGTGCTCTCTTGAATCTTTCTGTGCTCTCTTGGATTGTGCTTTTTAGGGAATGACTGCACTTCACTGGGCTGCTTTCCATAATCGGCCCCAACATGTGCAAATACTGTTGCAGAAAGGAGCAGATCTAACTCTGGTGGACAAAGACTTTAAAACAGCTCTTCACTGGGCAGTACAGGTAGGAGATAACTACCAGTATGTCATCAGTGCACCACTTGAACTACACAGATGGTTTTATTTTCTGAAATTTTAAGCAAGTCACAGAACATCAGAACAGAAGAATGGCATTTCTGTTTCCAAGTGGGCAAGATACAGGGCACAGGTCTGTATCTAATTGCAACTTTGCCAATTTAGCCTGGTCCAGGATTGAGCCCTCCATTTTTACAGTAAAGCATCATTTTTTATCAACAAATATTCAGTTTGGGCTTGCTTCTCATAGGTGTCAAGCACTATTACCTAATGTAGTAAAGCACTTATGTCATTGGGACTATCTGTGTGCTTCACATTTAGCTGGTACTCAAGTATTCTACTGGATAGGGGCTAGAGTAACAATGATTCAGTGCAAAACGAGAGCAGCTTAAGATCATTCAAAATGAAATAGCCTAAGTATGTAAAATAGCAAACATGTCATACTGGGATAATGTTTTGAGGGGCCAAAGCCTCATTTCTATGAAAATCCCAGCTTCTTTAAGGGAAGTGTCCTGTTAAACACTCTTACTGTCAAACAACGTATGGCATATTGCTTCAGGGCAATCACTGGACCCTTTAAAGGTCTCTCCTTCCCATCACAAAAAGTACCAAAAAACTGTAAAGCTGTTGAAAAATTGAGGGAATCATTAAAGTTACACTGTTACACTATGACTTATGAATAGATCCAGTATGACACTTTTGAACTAGGGATGTAAATACCAGTTAAAATATCTGTTTAACCTGTTGTAATTACAGTTGTTAAATGATTAACTGGTATGGCAACCCCCAGCCTGGCCCATGTGAGGCTGCTCTGGCCCAGCCTGCAGGGCACCTCTGTCCAGCCCTGCTACTTGCGGGCCATTTCCACCACCCTGAGGTGGGGTAAGGACTCAGCAACTCCCCAGGGTTGTACCTCGTGTTAAGCTGGGTAGAGTAGGGAAAACGGGGAGTGCCTAATAGCTAGGCTCTGCAGGGTGGGGAGCACAGTCCAGCAAGGAAAGAGGGGAAGGGAAGCCATGTGGTGCTGCAGCAGGAACCGGAAGGTGGCAGGCAAAAAGGAGGGAGAGGTGAGGAGGGGGGCAGAAAGAGGGGGGAATTTTACCTACACCTAGGGTCTACAGACCCCAGTGCAGCTGCTTGCAACCTCTCTGCTGCCTGCCTCAAGCAGCCTGGGCTCATGGTGGGTGGCAAGAACCTGCTGGAGCCCGGCTACTCGTGGCAAGTGGCAGGGAGGCTGCAAGCAGCTGCACTAGGGCCTGTGGAGCCTAGCTATAGGTACTAGTCCTTGCTTCCATTCCTCCCTCCCTCCCTCTCTCCCACCTGCCCTGCCACCTTCCAGTTCCTGCCAGAATACCATGTGGCTTCCCTCCTTCTCTTCCCCCACCCCCCACTTCCCTGAGAGACTGTGCCCCACTCTGTGATAAACTATAACCGGTAAGTTATAACCAGTTATCATTGGGCTCATGGGTTAAACTATTAATCATTTAACCATTCACATCCCTACTTCTAACTGTGACTAATCTTCAGCATCCTAACCTTTTTCATTTAATTTTGCCAACTTAAACCATGACAACAAGCCAAACAAGAAACAAAGAACGATCACAAAATATATATCTCATTTTAACATCTATAAAAAAAACAATCTGCCTCTGTTTACTTATTTTCTGGAGCAAACCTCTCCCATACAGAGCATCCACAATGGATTCAACATTTTTGTCTTCCTAGTATAGGATGCAGCTGATGCTTCAATTACTTTGTCACCATTTATTACTTTCACAGCATTTATTCTCTGATTTCATATATTTTCTGCTCAGCTTGAACTTGTGTTGCATCTTTTGATTTTGCCTGGGTATTTTGAAGAGATCAGTTCCACCAGCTCTCAGGCATTTCTTGCGTATTTAGTCTAGTGCAGGCTCCACCCAGCCGACATTCTGGGCCAGGTGAAATCTGGAGGGCCCTGTGTTCTAGCTATTTGGAAAACCAGTCTATTTTACAGTAAGGCAAAACAAAAGCTTATCTCTACATATCCCCCTACACTTTCCTATAGAAACAATAAATAGGCAACATAAAACTGTGGGTGACAGAACACTGCAGAAAAGCTCACCCCCTCCTGTGGGTCACAAATCCCATACCCACTCCTTTCAAGTCACCCACGCACAGCTGCCCAGAAAGCAGAGGTTACTTTTCCAGCTTGCCTCAAAGCAGAGGAAGTGTGCAGGGGAGATTCATTTTCCACTGCTGGGATTTGTTCTGAGGTGCTTCATAGGAAACTTTATGAGCACAGCTTTACGAGCACTCGTGGTGCTCTAGCAAGGTGCCAGAGGACTGGAAGAGGGCCGATGTGGTCCCCATTTTCAAAAAAGGGAGGAGAGAGGACACAGGATACTATAGGCCTGTTAGTCTTACCTTGGATCTGGAGAAGCTCTTCGAAAAAATTACCCAGGAGCACATCTGCGAGGGACCAGTAGGGGAGTGTATGCTCAGGGGCAACCAACATGGGTTCATCAGAGGCAGGTCCTGTCAGACCAACCTGGTGGCCTTCTATGATCAGGTCACTAAATCCTTGGATGCAGGCGTCACGGTGGACATATTCTTTATGGACTTCAGAAAAGCCTTTGACACTGTCTCTCACCCCATTCTCATTTAAAAAATGAGGTGACTGTGGTGTCAATCCCTACACAGTCAGATGGGTTGCCAATTGGCTGGAGGGCTGTACCCAGAGAGTGGTAGTGGATGGGTCTTTTTCGACCTGGAGGGATGTGGGCAGTGGGGTCCCCCAGGGCTTGGTCCTCGGGCCTGCGCTATTCAACATCTTCATCAGCAACTTGGACAAGGGGGTGAATAGCACCTTGTTCAAATTCACAGATGACACTAAGATGTGGGGGGAGGTGGGCACGCTAGAGGGGAGGGACAAGCTGCAATCAGATCTGGACAGGTTACAGGAGTGGGTGGATGAGAACAGGATGGGTTTCAACACTGACAAGTGCAAGGTGATGCACCTGGGGAGGAAGAACCAGCAGCATGCCTTCAGGCTGGGGAGCTCCCCTCTCACCAGCACAGAGGGAGAAAAGGATCTTGGTGTCATTATTGACTCAAAGATGAACATGGGCCGCCAATGTGGGGATGCAGTCAGGAAGACTAACCGCACCTTATCATGCATCCACAGATGCATCACGAGCAGGTCCAAGGAGGTGATCCTCCCCCTCTGTGTGACCTTGGTCAGGCCCCAGTTGGAGTACTGCATCCAGTTCTGGGTGCCGCACTTCAGGAGGGATGTGGACAACATGGAGAGGGTCCAGAGGAGGGCCACTCGCATGATCAGGGGGCAGCAGGGCAGGCTCTACGAGGAGAGACTAAAGGGACCTGAACCTATTCAGCCTCCACAAGAGGAGGCTGAGAGGGGATCTGGTGTCTGCCTATAAACTTGCCAAGGGAGACCAGCAGGCAATGGGAGAGTCCCTGTTCCCCCGAGCACTACCGGGAGTAACAAGGAACAATGGCCGTAAGCTGACAGAGAGCAGATTCAGGCTGGATATCAGGAGGCACTACTTCACAGTCAGGATGGCTAGGATCTGGAACCAACTTCCAACGGAAGTGGTCCTTGCTCCTACCCTGGGGGTCTTTAAGAGGAGGCTAGACAGTCACCTAGCTGGGGTCATCTGACCCCAGCATTTTTTCCTGCCCCTGGCAGGGGGTCGGACTTGATGATCTGCTCAGGACCCTTCCGACCCTACTAACTATGAAACCATACTCCCACCTCCATTCTTCAGCCCCTGTGGTATGGAGTCTATAGTGTGGAAATTATAACTTAAAAATCTGAGCCTGTAGTTTTTTGTCTGCCTGTTTTTACCTCCTATGATGTGAGCTTAGCCATGGAAAAATATTTTTACAGCCATTGTTATCTACTTCGCTTAGTAAAAGAATTAATGTTGGCATAAATTGCCCTGTATAACTGACCTCAGATGGAAGCAGGCCTGTCACCTGTGCAAGATGAAGCCTTGGCTTGTCTAAAGTTCTTGCCAAGCCAATATCCCTGGTTAGATGGGGAATGTGGGTTATTCCCTCATTCTGATATCTGATGTCTAGGAGACTCTGAACATGCTCAGCAGCCCTTTCCCTCACCAATTTTTCCTCAAAATCTCAGAGTTGAAACCAGGGCTGTATTGTGGAGGATGCAGTGTTAGGAAATATCTAATAAGCTTCTTTTAAAGTTGTTGAAATGGGGATATGTTTCCTTTAAGAACTGTACTTAACCTCTTCAGAGTACAAGAGGCCCATAGAGCTCCCAGAGTAGCAGCTGCAGGGGTTGCTTTCAGCTGAATTAGAGCCTTGTTCTTGTTTTCATGAAAAAACAGAGGCTGGAACATCTGGCATGTTAATGAGACCTGTTCCAGAAATCACAGAAAAGAGGCAGTGTGTGTACATTGTACTAATATGTGGGCCAGGAACTATGGAAATGACCCATGAAAACCTTTACCCACAGTTCAAATTATAAGAAGTGTCCAAGCCTAGGCTTTCAAAAAACCCACATCCAGGTCTGAGATTAAACAAATGCAGACTTTGGTCCTGTTTCCCTTACTAGAATTCCAGTCACAGGCAGGCCTTTCTTACAGCGAGGCTGGCTGAATGGGAATAGTAACACTGACATAGCTGCGTAAGTTTAAACAGTTCAAATACAGCTATGGGCACCAAAGTGGCCCTACAATATGCCAATCTTTTGGTGCACCACCTGGAAGAAGAATTCCTCAAGAACTGTACCGTCAGACACAAGCTACCCAAGATATATAGATGACATCATCATTTGGACCAAAAACCTGGAATCTGTGATTGATTTCCATCATAAATTTAATAATACAAACCATCATATACAAGAAACTTATGGACCAACATACATATTATTTACACAGAACCAGCAGTCACCATAAACAGACCAAGAAAGCTGTAATATACTACCAAGCCCTCCGATACCACCAACTTTGCACTAAGGAG